TATTAACGATCAAACAGTGTATACGTACTTTTGGGACACCTTGTATAACCCATTTACATTCAAATACCATCCGTGCCTCTGCCCACAAGGTCTACCATAAATAATGTTAGGCAGCTGCAAAAATCTTTTGAGAGTCCAATTTCAGAAGCTTCTGCTCAGAAATTACAAAATGCTGCACCAGAATTTTCAAAAATTCGTATCACAATTTCAAACATTTTAGAAATCGAAATTGAAACATTTTATGAAAGCTTTCGAAGTGAGCTTGAAACTTTCTTTGCAGGACTTTCAGCGCAGCATAATACGTTCAAATTTTATTTGATCTAGCAAGCTCTGCATACTGTATGTGCATCGAAATGCGATCGTCATATCTCCATACTTACCGATAGATTTTATTATTCATTCTTCCTATTTACACATATACATTTCTTTTGTGTTCTCTCCACATTGAACAAAACGGAAAAGTGAAAGCACTGCATAGGTTTTGAAAAATGAAGAGTTCTATTCGCAGTTAACATTCCAAAAAATGAATATTGTATTTGTTTAAGGCGCTACAACGAGCTCGAAGAGACACTGATGACATGACTGTGAGGCAGCTTTTCGAGGATTCTGACTATGTCGGTGATTTCGAACAAATCGATGCGACTACCGCTGCCGCCTTTGTGACAGAAAAATTGAAGCCAAATTCTTCTCATTTTGAAGACTTAAAATCAAAGAAAAAGCTTGGTTGGTGTGTCTTAGAGCTCCAAACTAAAAGGATTAGTTCTTATTACTTTCCAGGCAATCTCAAAACGGCAAAACGGATACCGTATTTCTATGGACACCGCACAAAAAATAGTACTGCTTCTTCAACTTCTCCTCCTCCGAAGTACTTCGTAATTAAGAGCAAGGTGCCACATCAGTAAATTTCAAGCTATAAAAGTTTATATATCGTTGCATAATATCATTCAAGCCTAATACTGAACCGAAGCAGAAGAATCCTCCAATTGTCCCGCCGCAGTATGGCCGCCAACCTCATAAAGGTTTCATGACCCGTGGAATTGCATCCGTGAAGGTATTGGGTCATATCTTTTTTCACAACCTCAAAACAATGTCCTGTTTGACTTAGGCTATTCGACAACCTTTCGTTTCCGATACTTGGAGCAACGCAGGGAAGCAAGCTTACTATCGACATCATTTGTCACCAACGGTATATTTCCTTCCAGTTGAGCATTTCTTATTTTTATATTATTTTTTCTTTTCTCACTTGGTAGGTGTAGCATCCTACGAATTCGTTAACTATTTTTGTAGATTGGAAATTGAAGTTATGGAATCAAAGAATATGTTTTGTGTTGTCTGTCGCATCGTTCTTTAACATGCAATATTTTATTTTTATTAGTTTATTTTGATTTACACTAGGTGAACCAAAAAAATAAACATAACCAAGCGATTCAAACAAAAGCACCAAGTCCAGTTAAGACATAACTG